TGCTGGGTTTTTTCAACCCGACTTTGGGTCAAATATGGACTAACCCAACTTTTGGGTTAAAAATGTAATTAAAAAATTTAACCCAACAGCTGGGTTAGTCCATATTTGAGCCAAAGTTGGGTTGAAACAACCCAGCAGTTTTTAGAGTGTGTAATTCATTTTAATTTTAATTTGAACGATTTTAATTTATAACTACAAAAGATGTCATAAAAAATCTTATTTTTGTGTAACTGGAACATAATTTGGCTCTGAAAAGGTTAAACAATGAAATCCCCATATACACTCTAAAAAATGCTGGGTTAAATATAACCCAGCGCTGGGTTAAAAAAGGGACAAACCCAGCTATTGGGGGTTTTTTTACCCAGCGGTTGGGTGGTTTTGATCAAACCGCTGGGTCAAAACAACCCGATAGCTGGGTTTGTCCCTTTTTAACCCAGCGCTGGGTTATATTTAACCCAGCATTTTTTAGAGTGTAGGCTTTGTAGTTCCTCAAATGAAAATGAAAGGAAAGAAAGGCAGAATGAAAAGGCAGAAAGGAAAATGAAAGTAAAAGTATACTGTTTAATGAAATTAATATATAACAATCTAATCAGTCAATCAAAACGCTGAAGAATGGTTATATTCTGAATGGAAAAGCAAAATGTTAATGTCCTGCTTATTTCTCTTTCTCTGTGTAGGTAAAATGCTTTCATTATGAAAGCTCATACATCATGAATTCTGAGGCGCAAAGAATGGGAGGAGATGAGTTCTGGCACATTTCTGGCAATGTCCATCCAGGGCTTGTAGTACACCGGCAGGTCTCTCTGAAACACAATGTAGATGTATGTAGTATGTGTCCATAACTCAATAATATGAAATGTAATATATATTTTTGATCATTTTTCATTACATTTACTGTTCTGTCATGACTACTAGTTTAGCATGGTAATTTACATTACAATATTAATGTGTTTAAATCTAGTACTGAGATTTGCTACTGCCAATACCGCCACAGACATGCTGCTGTGAGCATATAACATACATGAAATAATCCCTATATATAAAGCATACATGAAATTACCCAGTAGCAGATCTATACAGGTGGAGCTGGGGAGGTGGAGGGCTTCTGAAGTGCACTGCAACTGCTACAGCAAACACTAGCCAAGTTTTTGAATGTACAGCAGCAAGCTCATTGGCTGCTGATGCTGTGCCATTTGAATAATGATGTTATTAAATCATATTGAATTAGAACCTATCAGCCTGCAAAATCTATAGTTTCATGACAGAACTTTGTATTATGCAAATGTGCATTTGATGAGGAAATCCTACACACACTGAATATTCAGTTTACGTCAAATCATATATCCATAAAATTTACCATACATGTATGCTTTTTTTTTCAGCCAAAGAGTTGAATACGACAGAGTACACAGTTAAAAGGTTATCTTGAGGTGGATTCTTAGTTTTCCACCAATCATTGTAAGAGATACATAATCCCAGATACTAATTGTAAGTCAAAGTTAACAGTTTACTACCTTGGAAGCTAAAGAAGTTGATTGGACTTGTCATCAAATTTACACTGAATTCCTACTAATTTGGTCTAGATAGTTTTCTAAGATCACTGTCTATCTGCTTCCTTGGCTTCTGAATGTGAACTACTGCAATGATAAAATTGCATCTTTGGAGAGCAAAGTTTTGTATAAACCTATTTACCATTAAAGCAAATAGATAAAGGTCACTTAGAAAGCAAACAGTGTCGAAGTCTAACAGTTTACTACCTTGGAAGCTAAAGAAGTTGATTGGACTTGTCATCAAATTTACACTGAATTCCTACTAATTTGGTCTAGATAGTTTTCTAAGATCACTGTCTATCTGCTTCCTTGGCTTCTGAATGTGAACTACTGCAATGATAAAATTGCATCTTTGGAGAGCAAAGTTTTGTATAAACCTATTTACCATTAAAGCAAATAGATAAAGGTCACTTAGAAAGCAAACAGTGTCGAAGTCTAACAGTTTACTACCTTGGAAGCTAAAGAAGTTGATTGGACTTGTCATCAAATTTACACTGAATTCCTACTAATTTGGTCTAGATAGTTTTCTAAGATCACTGTCTATCTGCTTCCTTGGCTTCTGAATGTGAACTACTGCAATGATAAAATTGCATCTTTGGAGAGCAAAGTTTTGTATAAACCTATTTACCATTAAAGCAAATAGATAAAGGTCACTTAGAAAGCAAACAGTGTCGAAGTCTAACAGTTTACTACCTTGGAAGCTAAAGAAGTTGATTGGACTTGTCATCAAATTTACACTGAATTCCTACTAATTTGGTCTAGATAGTTTTCTAAGATCACTGTCTATCTGCTTCCTTGGCTTCTGAATGTGAACTACTGCAATGATAAAATTGCATCTTTGGAGAGCAAAGTTTTGTATAAACCTATTTACCATTAAAGCAAATAGATAAAGGTCACTTAGAAAGCAAACAGTGTCGAAGTCTAACAGTTTACTACCTTGGAAGCTAAAGAAGTTGATTGGACTTGTCATCAAATTTACACTGAATTCCTACTAATTTGGTCTAGATAGTTTTCTAAGATCACTGTCTATCTGCTTCCTTGGCTTCTGAATGTGAACTACTGCAATGATAAAATTGCATCTTTGGAGAGCAAAGTTTTGTATAAACCTATTTACCATTAAAGCAAATAGATAAAGGTCACTTAGAAAGCAAACAGTGTCGAAGTCTAACAGTTTACTACCTTGGAAGCTAAAGAAGTTGATTGGACTTGTCATCAAATTTACACTGAATTCCTACTAATTTGGTCTAGATAGTTTTCTAAGATCACTGTCTATCTGCTTCCTTGGCTTCTGAATGTGAACTACTGCAATGATAAAATTGCATCTTTGGAGAGCAAAGTTTTGTATAAACCTATTTACCATTAAAGCAAATAGATAAAGGTCACTTAGAAAGCAAACAGTGTCGAAGTCTAACAGTTTACTACCTTGGAAGCTAAAGAAGTTGATTGGACTTGTCATCAAATTTACACTGAATTCCTACTAATTTGGTCTAGATAGTTTTCTAAGATCACTGTCTATCTGCTTCCTTGGCTTCTGAATGTGAACTACTGCAATGATAAAATTGCATCTTTGGAGAGCAAAGTTTTGTATAAACCTATTTACCATTAAAGCAAATAGATAAAGGTCACTTAGAAAGCAAACAGTGTCGAAGTCTAACAGTTTACTACCTTGGAAGCTAAAGAAGTTGATTGGACTTGTCATCAAATTTACACTGAATTCCTACTAATTTGGTCTAGATAGTTTTCTAAGATCACTGTCTATCTGCTTCCTTGGCTTCTGAATGTGAACTACTGCAATGATAAAATTGCATCTTTGGAGAGCAAAGTTTTGTATAAACCTATTTACCATTAAAGCAAATAGATAAAGGTCACTTAGAAAGCAAACAGTGTCGAAGTCTAACAGTTTACTACCTTGGAAGCTAAAGAAGTTGATTGGACTTGTCATCAAATTTACACTGAATTCCTACTAATTTGGTCTAGATAGTTTTCTAAGATCACTGTCTATCTGCTTCCTTGGCTTCTGAATGTGAACTACTGCAATGATAAAATTGCATCTTTGGAGAGCAAAGTTTTGTATAAACCTATTTACCATTAAAGCAAATAGATAAAGGTCACTTAGAAAGCAAACAGTGTCGAAGTCTAACAGTTTACTACCTTGGAAGCTAAAGAAATTGACTGGACTTGTCATCAAATTTACACTGAATTCCTACTAATTTGGTCTAGATAGTTTTCTAAGATCACTGTCTATCTGCTTCCTTGGCTTCTGAATGTGAACTACTGCAAAGATAAAATTGCATCTTTGGAGAGCAAAGTTTTGTATAAACCTATTTACCATTAAAGCAAATAGATAAAGGTCACTTAGAAAGCAAACAGTGTCGAAGTCTAATGCTTTCTTATACAAACAATCAGGCTTACTCTATCTGAATATACTGACTATATGAATGCAAATTAATAGTTTGTTAAATCCTTCTCACTAGCACAGAAATTTGGACACTCTCAGTGTGTTACCAAACTATAACAAGTAATGCCAGAACTGTAGCTTTACCTGAGAGCAATCAGTTGCTTCTTTTGGTTGGTAAGGAAATGGCTAATTTATATTGTACATTGCATAAAACACCAATACATTCTTATTACAAGGTGTAAAAAACATAAAAATGTATTTAAAAAATGATTTGATGCAGCTAACAAAATGCTATACAGTAAGTGTCATGACCTACCAGAGGCTCAGGAAGAATAAACCCATAATCCTCAGAGATGTGAAACTGTTCCAGAGACAATGGTATCTCTGTATTTTTAACTTTAGTGCCCATAATTTTTAGTACAATACTAGTGACTGACTCTCTGTCGCCGGGCATATGCCACTGTCACTGCTCTATAGCTAAAAGTCAAATGAACCTTATCTGTCAAGCAACAAAACTTTCTCTCTCTCTCTCTCTCTCTCTTACTTTGTGTTTCTGTTCTACCGTTAGTAATGACCTTTCCTCACTTCCCTATCAGAAATCATATGAGTATGCATGTGTAAAAACCACAGACGCACTACAGCAACAGTTGTCATAACCTGCAATACAGGGGTAATTCTATAATTGCGTTGTGTCACCTCAAGCTAAATAAAGACATTTTATTGATGGTATATAATTATGTATTCAGAAGGGTAATAGCATTGAGAGTTATACAGTTTAATTTGACATTACAAGCCCTGTGCTCAAGGTTATGAAAATACAAATCGAAAAATAATGAAAAATCAAGAAAAAATTCAATAGAAAAATAATGAAATGCTGATATTTCCACAAATATGACTGTGGTTTAAACTCTCCTCTCTGCTCTGTGTTTTCTTAACCTTCATGCTTACTGTCCTATTGGTATTTTCACGCTGTATCTCTGCCTAGTTTTGCCAGAGGAATCCTGGTTACCATGTTGTTCACAAAACATCTTAAGGCTAAAAGTAGCTCATAACTTGCAGATTTGGGAGAAAATCTTAAAAATAATGGGCGTGTCAGTCCTAAATTTTTGCTCTAAGAGTATTTCACAAAGCATTTTAGCGTTAAAAATAGCACCTAAATCTGTGAAACAATAGGAGTAGTGAAGAGGACTCCTAAGTCACTAAGACCAAGCCACAAACTATGCCTATCCTCCCTGCTGAACAAAACAATAGCAACCATCACAGAAATGCTAATGGTTTCCACTACAAATACCATTACATACTTTACAAACCATCAACTTTTAACCATTAAAATGATAAAAAAAATGGTTTCCTGTAGTGTGTTTTGGGACATGTTTCATTAGTGGTTTTAACAAGTCACCAATGGAAGCTGACCAATTACCAGTAGAGACCAACAGGCACCATTACAGTTACCATTAAAACAGTTTAATTCCCAATATAACCAGTAAAACAATTAAAAACTCTGTGATGGTTTCTCTTGTTTTTTTCAGCCGGGCTAAAATGGCTGTAGCCGGCAATCTGCCTCGGAACGTAAACATTTTTAGTGAAGAGGACTCCTAAGTCACTAAGACCAAGCCACAAACTATGCCTATCCTCCCTGCCGAACAAAACAATAGCAACCATCACAGAAATGCTAATGGTTTCCACTACAAATACCATTACATACTTTACAAACCATGAAACGTTAGGAGTAGTGAAGAGGACTCCCAAGTCACTAAGATCAAATCACAACTATACTAAAATGGCTGTAGCCGGCAATCTGCCTCGGAACGTAAACATTTTAGAAACACGCTGTATTTATTTGCACACATATGTTTTCCCAAGCATCTTTTTTGGTTTTGGAGGTTATCCCAACTCCAAATTTTCCTTTGATTATATCCTTGTTTTCATTAACAAGTTGGGCAAGAAGTAACAGCTGTTCTTGCGTCCAGTTTGGTTTTCTTTTACATTTGCATGTCTTACTATCAGCCATGATTATTCTACTCTGTTAATTAAAAGGCTCTTTATATGCATATCCGCTAACTGTTTACGAGAAGCACACATGTAAGAGGCTGACAACTAGCTGAACATATACTTGTTTAATTAGTGACACTTAGTCTGCCTTTTTAAATCTTTGAATGTGGCAAAATTTTTATTTTTAAACCTTTATTTTAATATGGCGACATAATATTGCACTCTACAATATTTCTATGAATAAATCTCTGACAGAGACTATCAGCCAATCACTGTGTGCATAGTTAGTAAGCATGCTGACATCATCCATAGCAACGAGGTCAACCCCGCCCCCTTACTCTGAGCTTAAAACTTATCTATTCCTTAGTTAGTAAGCATGCTGACATCATCCATAGCAACGAGGTCAACCCCTCCCCCTTACTCTGAGCTTAAAACTTCTCTATTCCTTAGTAAAAGTTTGTCTCAGCAGCTTTGTGAATAGGTTTTAAGAGAAAACTCTTAGCTAAAAACTTTTACTGCTATTTAGGAGAACTCATAGTGGTAAGATAAAATGCTTTGTGAATATGGGCCCTGACTTCTCCTAGTTTGATCATCTACTATGTCCTTGTACTAATTCTGGCTCAGATCTCTGATCTAGTCGATTGAGTGGAATATTTCCTGGTTTTGACCTCTACCTGCCACTGATCTTGAAAATGAGTCACCTTTGGATTTAATCAGACTGTCACTCTGGCTTTGACACTCACCTGATTCTGACTACTTTTCCTCTCCCAAACAAATCTTGACATCACATTCTGGCATCGGTGGAAGCAGTATTGGAGAGATGCTGCTGCTTGTTCACCGGGGATGGTGCCGGAGCCCAATTGGGAACCGGATTGTGCTTTTCCACTCAAAAAATTCCGACTTTAAATTCCCACATTCTGGTTCTGAACCGGCCCCAAAACCTTGCTGGTCACAAACAAGAGAACCTATGATGTCAGTAGGCCGGGCTTCTACTACAGACCACAATTTAAAAAGGTGCCATTTTTAAAACACTCAAAAAATTCCGACTTTAAATTCCCACATTCTGGTTCTGAACCGGCCCCAAAACCTTGCTGGTCACAAACAAGAGAACCTATGATGTCAGTAGGCCGGGCTTCTACTACAGACCACAATTTGAAAGGTGCCATTTTTAAAAGCTGTTGGAGTTTAAGTGAATTAACAACATTGAAAACAATTAAATATGTCAGTTCAGCAGTGGTCGGCAGTAGAGATCAACCCGCTCCTTCCGCAAGAGACAACAAGCAATTCCAGTCACATGTTGATGACATAGATGGTTCTGCTCCCTGCCAGTGGAAATGCAAACCAGCTCTGAACGAGTGCCACCCTTGGCCGTGCACTGGCACCACCTCCAGCACCAGTCCCATTTGAAAAGCGGTAAAAGGGTCAGTGTCTGTACTGTGGTGGTCAAAGTCATACTGCATCTTCCTGTTCAGTAAAGCCCTCACTCATCAGTAACCAGGGGAGTCCTGGCAAGTGGAACACCCATGTCCCCATATCTTAGCACCCATACTCTCCTGCCTGTTCAGTGCTTATTGACTCGGAAACATAGGGAAATTCCATGCTACGTGGGCAATCAAGAATGGCATTCCCATTCAAGTCCTCAGCACCCATTCCCTTAATGGTTGTGAGCTGGCCACCATCATTGCATCACAGCTCCGGGGAATTTCATTATCAGGCAACCACAGGGAGGACCTAGTGTTCATCCTGTCTGACTTAACGGTGGCTTCAGAATCCTGGATCATAGTCCTGCCCCCTCTCCTGTCTGTCTCTGTTTTACAGGAGGAGGTTGCGGATTTGTCCAGTAGTCCCAGCAGTGTACCACAAGCTGTGGTTGGTCTTGAGCCACCTCCAACTCCAAAACTGACCATATGACTGTGCCATTGATCTCCTCCCAAGCACTTCTCTGCATCAAGGTAATCTATTCCTTGTCAGCTCTCAAACAAATGGCTGTGGAGAAGTATTTGTCTCTAATCTCTGGCAGTCAGCATCATCCATCACTCATTGTCTCCAGCTTGGGCAGGGTTCCTCTTCATGAAAAAGAAGGATGGATCTGTGTGTCGCAGCATTGAATATCGGGGGCTGAATGACATAACCATTAAAGGGGACATAACACACACAGTTTCTGCCAATCTTATGTAATTTTGAGTACCTATCAAGTAGCATTGCATCCTTCATATCTCCGAAGAGTCATCACTTTGATCAGATTTACAAAATACAGATACAGCTGTACCAATTCTCTACGCATACGTGCTACATCATCCGCCGGAACGGCTTCCGCGTACGACAGTTAGTGGAAGTGAGAGAAAAGTGTTTATAATGTTTTAAATATGGATATATTTACAAAAATGCATCGATTCACCCCCCGGAGCCATGTGAGGCAGGTTTTATTATGGATGGATGTGCTTTATTTGACTAGTTTTGGACTGTTGAAAAAAACATCCGCCCACTGCCATTATAAAGCTTGGAAGACCAAGGACAATTTTTAATATCACTCCGACTGGATTCGTCTGAAAGAAGAAAGTCATCTACACCTAGAATGCCTTGTGGGTGAGTAAAACATGGGCTAATTCTCATTTTTGGGTGAACACAACCTTTAAGTCGAAAGTTAAATTAAGTTTTAAGGGTAAGGTCCCAGACAAACTGTTGTATAAAGGTATTTTTTAAACAACATTTCTGACATAATATTAAGTGAATTACTTGCAGAATATGTCTGTTTTTGCTCAGTTTTGCAAATAGTTCCTAATAAAGCCACAGCAAAACCACTGAATGAATTATTGACTGACTCATGATATGCTGCCACACACTGGTGGTTTTAGTTTCATATTTCATTTCATTTTTTCCCATCATTTCAAATTTTTTATTTACTAAATGTGTAGCATCTGCATTGCAAAGATGTTGAT